CTGAGTGATTTTTTGTTTTTGAACCTAGGGTGTTTACTATCCTAGTATGTTATTGTCAGCCTACTACTCGAATTTTGGCATATAAATTTTTGCTTACCCTGCAGAGCAGATTACTAAAAAGGGGGAAGAGAAAGGGTTTATGGTAACCGCAGCATTTATTTGAGTACCATTGACTGGTGGGCATTGTGCGCATTCCATCAATCTTCCATTGAACTGTCCTGAAGGAGTTTATTTTTTAAGTTGTGTATTTTCAGCCACGTTCAAATTAATGCCACAATTATGAGAAGGAATGGGGAGTAACTACAAGATAATAGAAAAATTTCACTTGTAAGTAATCTTTAATTCACAGGATTTTTAGAGCAGATGTTTGCATTTTTCTTACCCCACAGTACCCTGTGTACCTGCCATGCTGGACAAATAACAAGTTCTGATGAATTTGCACCCTGGTGTCATAGAAACAGTGGAAATCAAAGATGAAAATAGAGCTCAATAGTGACAAGGTTTCCTAGGCCAAATGGAAGCATAGTGCTAAGGCAATTATTCAGGTAATTCAGGCCCAAATGTGTTTTATGAAAATGGAGCTGACATTTATCGAACACTTATTATGTGCCAATCTATATGCCAGCTGTTCTGTGTGTTCTATTAACTAATCTTAAAAGTATCTCTGTGAACTGCATGTGTTATTATCCTGACATTATAGGTGGGGCTATTGAGACTTGGAAAGATTAAGCAACTTGCCCAAATTTATAAGTGAAAGAAACTGGACTGAAACTTTAACTTTGAAGATAAAATTTGTGCTTTCTCCCCCTGGACAGTATTACTGAGGTATCTATATTTAGCCAGAGGTATTTATATTTAGCATGTTACTTTTCCACTTTGTTGGTAAAATCTTGACTAATGGAATGAAATGAGATGCTACAAAAGAAATATGAAAAATTGGATTTATCTTTGCCTGATAAGATGTGCTACACTTTTGGTCAGAATGACAAGAGTAAAATACCGGTATTTTAGGAAGATCAACGAGGCCAAAGACCACCCAATATATCAACCAACAGAAACCAATTTAGCTTATGCTTCTGAAACCTTGAGCTTAAAATAAGGGCTAAATGGTATGAAGTACTAAGTGTGGTTGACCTACAGTTATCTTCCTGAACAGAGGCTGGGAGTTTTATGGACTTCAAGATTCCTTTTTTCTTCTTCTGATGAGTCTTTCTCACCACAAGTATTTAATCTGTGTAGTAATAGCCTTGGGGGCACAATATGAACAACCGTCCATAGGGAGCTATAACTTTTATGTACCAAACCTCGTATTTATCCAGCTCTTAAAGCCTGGTTTAACAGAATGTTCCAAACCAAAACAGAGAAAACTGTAGTTTATTCTGGAAACATTCCTTGTCCAAGAATTAAAAGCTATCTCTGGGTAGTTTTGTGCATGCTCTGACCCTAGGTAGACCAGAGTGAGTCATTATTTTCTCTTGTGGAGGATTTTTTTTTTTAGATGTTTTGTAAGTATATTAAAGGAATCATTTTACCTCCAAAACATATTAAAATGGCTAAGACTTCAAGAATATTAATTACTTGGATGCACAAGGAAGAGATCTGAGAGTGATCATTTTAGTACCACTGACTGTTATGCCCCATAGTCCAAGTCTCTTTGTAAAATCCTACTTGTGAAATTGTATGTTTCATTTCAAGAATGTGGCTTCTGAGTAGAATATAGTAAGTACACAACTTTAAACAGGAATGAACAGTTCTGTTATTTTAATTGCATTAGCATCCATACTTCGTTTGCCAGTCGTAACTAGAATTGGAGCAGCAGATAGAGCAGATAATCCTGGAACTTCATTTTAGGTAAACTTTAAACCTCCGGAACTTTTTTTTTTTTTAAGTTCTCACGTGAGGATATGTTTTTATTAATTTCAGGGAGAGAGGAAGGCGGAAGGAAAGCAAGAGAGAAAAATGGACCAGTTGTCTCGTATGAGCCCTGACTGGTATCCAACCCGCAACCTAGATATGTGCCCTGGCCGGGATGCAAACCTGCAACCTTTTGGTATACAGGATGATGCTCCAACCAACTGAGCCATCTGGCCAGGGCCAAACCTCCCAGACTTGGTATTATTTACTTTATTGATTTGGCTATCCTTCGGGCTAGTAACTGAGCTAGAGTAAAAGGAAGGGCGGTGAGGACTGAGGCAGTCTTGGAGCTGTGTGGTCTGCCTGGTCAATGTCATTGAAGTCTCAGAGGAAGGGGAGATTGCAGGCAACTTTTGAGATGTATTTTTTTCCACCTCCTCTACCATCTGTTTTTCCTGAGGTAGCACAGCAAAAACCTCTTAGATTTATGTCATTAATGTACCGCAAATATTTTCCTTTAACAATCCAGTTATTTGTACTGGTGATTTGAGAGCCGCTTGGTAAATTGATCACAGATTACTAGGTTAGTTGACAAGCTCGGCATTCTGCTTACTTAGCTGGAATGGTAGGGATGCTTTGTAACCTTCCCGTTTTAAAAAAAAATCATATGTGTGCATTTGGGGGTATCAGCAAGAAGCTGACTCAATTTCTCTAGCTTATGTGATACCTACCAGGACCCAGAGTCACATGACCAGCCCTTAATCCCAATCATCTAACTCGTAGGTTTTCAACAGGAGCCATTTTGTCCCTAAGGGAGTAGAAATTGGCTCTTGGGGCAGGGATGGCCAAATATCTTACCTTTTTTGCTGTGTATAAAGCACAGAATATATACAACACATTTTTACATATATAGTATATTTGTGGCATTAACATTTCATGGAAGGGTAATTAGGAAGAAATGTTTAAAAAGGCTAGTGGGGATGGGGTGGGGAATAATGAGAAAAGGCTGAGAAGCACTGCTGTGGCTCCGCCCCAGTGATGGCCAGTGAGCATAATTTTGATTCATTCACACCGAATGGCCGTTGTCATTTTTTAATTTGACAGTCTAAGGGGAAAAAGGTCAGTGCCCCTGACTAAATAGGTATTGCATGTTTAAAATATTCCTGGGGCACAATGGTTGAAAATGGCTGCTTTATCCAGAAAAAGAAGAATGGATGAGGGCATTGATATAACTTGAGTAGAGAGAGGGAGCGAAAGAGTTACATTAAAGGAGCTCCAGTTTTCTTTCTAAAGTTGGAATAATTATCACCAAGGTAAAGGATAACAAAGGCTGGGATCCGAAAGGGTCAGATTGCTTCTGTGGGAATAGGGGTGGCAGAAGATCTAAGCCCTCCCTAGCAAGTGGCTGTGTGGGTCTTTCTTTTAGGAAAATAATAAAGTTAGTAAAATTTTCCTTGGACCTCCTCAAGGCCTCCTGCTTTTCCCTCTTCCATGCTGATAAAAACTACATTTAGCTAAATGTTTAATGAAAAAAGCTTGTTATAAGCCAGTTTACTCTAAGGTGGAGATGGCTGGTGATAAATAAATGTTTTTCTTTTCAGGGGCACTTGGTGAGCAGTGGGCCATCCTCAATGTAAGAGGGTAGTAGAGGCTTAGATACTCTTAATAGGCTTGATCAGTGGTTCACACCCAGGGGCCCGAAGGAATGACTGCACAGCAAAAATGATCTGTGGACATAATAGAGTGTCTCACAAATGCATGCACTGCTGTTTTAAAACTGTGTACATGTGCTGCTATAATGAAGAAAATATAAACTAAAAGTATTACTGATTTTATAATGCTTCATTCTTATTATATATTTTGTCAAGCACAAATACTAAAAGTATTGCTACTACTATATGAGAATCCTTATTCTGAACAGCCTGGGAAATACTGTGGTATCTGTATCACTATACTACACTTGAGTCATGATGGGAATCCCCACACGTGGGCCATTATGCACATGGACCACAGTCAGAGGGGGCCCTGCAAAGAGCTCCGTGATAGTTTCAGGATTTGGGCAGAAATCCCTTGTGTAAAACATTTCTTGCAGAACTGGATTTATTGACTGTTACTGCCTTTCTTTCCCCAGGCATCATAGGCAAACATTGCTTCAAAGTGTTTTGTCAGAAGTAGTTAAGAATGATTCACTGGCACTTTAAATCTTTATAATTTTTAAATTTTTTTTATCTCTTAGAGTATCATTAGAAATACGATAGACGCTAACATTTCCAAACCTGTTGTTTGGCCCCTGAGAGTGAGGCCTTTGCTTTACTCAGCCTTCTCCTCCCTGGGGCAGCGAGCGCTGCTCTGGTGTGCCCCCATCCAGTGCCCAGGCCTTCTCTGTCTTTAGATACCTAAAGACATGCTTTTTTTGATATTGATATACATATTTTTAAAAATTACTTATTTGATAGGAGTTTATTTTCGTAAGAACAAGATGCTAAAAACTTAAAACAGTGGTTCTTATAAAGAAATAATACATGCCCTCTATAACTTTGTTTACCCTGCACAGATAGGTCAGACATACACAGTACTTTAAGCCAGAGTGCATTATCACAAATTCCATTTTTAACACAGTTCAAAATAATTAAATTTCACTTTACTTACGGAGGGATTAAAAGCCACTTAGGAACTTGGTATCTCTTGTGAATCTCATTACTAGGGAGTAGTTTTTAAGACATGATTGGATCCTTGGTTTCCATGGGAAATTGAAAAGGCCCATGACTTTATACCATTTGAATTCAGGTTTTATGTTAAGGGATTTATTTAAGATTAGGGTTTTTTTTTCCTTGTTATTATTGCTAACTTATAAAGGGTTTTTAAAATATCTTTATTGAAATCGTTGTATAATAAATTTCAGATGTTCAAAGCACACTTGGATGAGTTTTAACACATACACATATAGCTATGAGACCACCCCTGCAAACAAAGTTTCTTTTTGTTACTTTGTCAGCCCTCCTTGCCCACCCCCAACCCCTGCACAGGTAACCTGGTCTGCTGGTTTGCTTTCTGACACTATAGACTAGTTTACCTTTTCTAGAATTTTATATAAATGGAACCATACCATCTTCATTGTCTGGCGATATTGATGTGTGTCCTTTTAGTTCCAGTTCAGACATCATAAGAGATCTTCTGGAAGAAGAGGAAGCCTGGGAAGCATCACATAAGTGAGTTCTTGTAATAAAAAATAAACATGTACTTTGACCTGAGAAATTATAATTCTATACAGTTGATTTTCAAAGAAAAGAGTATTTGTGCTTTCTGATTTAAGAAAGTGATAATTTTACACATCAAGGTAAAGATTTCAAGTTTACAACTTGTTTCTATATATTTCTGCTTAGAAATGGAATCCCAGTGTGATAACTCTGAATACTTGTCAGAAGTTGTTTTTCTGAAGACAAATTGTTCCAATAGGTGTTCAATACTTTGGCCTCAAGTACTGGCTCCAGAGTCTTTAGAAACTTTTAATCATTTTCTAGATGTTCTAGTCATAAGATGTTTAGTATAGAATAAATGCGATTCCACTTCTCCTATACCATTTATGAGTCACTTTGGGAAATGAGACGGCATGGGGGGGGGCGGGGAGTGCAGTGGGCAGCGACCTATTCCAGGTCCCACTGGTAGGTAAGGAGGAAATTACCGGTGCAAAAAAATAATACATTTTCATTAATTTCCACCTACAGGAGTGGGTTGTAGTACAGCAGGGCAAATGTACTGCAGTATAATTTCATGATCACATATCTCAGATTGCCTGGCAATTTCACTGTTTCTGTGACCTTTTCTTTGTCCTGTTCTTCACAAGTATTACTTGAAAACTCAGTAATATTCACCGCAGCTTAAGACCTTGTCCTTTATAGAGAAAATAGAAGCCATTATGTAGGAACCTTCATCTTTTCAAATGTATATATCTGTCTGTATTTACAAGCGTTTAATCCTCATTCCCTCCTTCTACAATAAAGGGATGTCCTGACTCCTATTGGAGGCTGCTTCCTCCTACCTCACTGCCACTCCCTTGTCAGGAACTTTGCCTTATCCCTTCTCTCTTGTGTAGGCAACGTCTCCCTCTCAGCTGCATTTTTCTCACTGGACATGCTCAAATCTTTCCCATTGTAAAACCAACCCGCCACACAACCAACAGACAGAAACACCTCACTCAACCTCTCATCTTACTTATTCTCATTCTGCAGCTCCCATTGTGTCTCTCCTTTCATTCTTTCTTTTCTTTTTTTTCAGTTGAGTTATTTGAGTGACATTGGTTAATATAGGTTAATAAAATCATGCAGGTTTCAAGTGTACTACTCAATGAAACATCATCTGTGCATTGCTCACCACCCAAAGTCAAGTCTCTTTCTGTTCCTATTTATACCCCCTTTGCCCTCTTCTTTCACCCTCCTACCCTCCTTTCCCTCTGACTGTCAATATACTGTTGTTCACATCTGTATGTCATACATATAGAGATGATCTCTGCTTGCAGTCTCCATTTCCTTATCTCCCACTTACTTGCTCTTCAGCATATTCAGCCAGTCTCGTCATTCAGACATAGCTTTCACCCGTCATTGAAGACCTCCATGTTGCTGCATCCAGAGGACATTCTTTAGACCTTATTTATCTTCCTTGTCTTCTCAACAGTGTTTGATACTATTGACTTCTTCCCCTTTCTTAAAACCCTCTCTTCTTTGACTTATGAGACACAGTATCCTGTTTTCCTGTTGTTCAACCAGGTTAATTGTTGATATTGGTCAAGATTAAATTTATCTTCTAATAAATTTATCTCTCCTACGTACTCAATGTCCCTTCTTAGATTCTAAGACACCTCAAAATCAACATGTGCAAAGCTGAACACTTGACCTTATCTATTCTCCAACACCTCCCCCCCTGAAAAAGTTTTTAAAACAAAAGAAAAACATGATCCTTTTCCGATGTTCCTTTTCAGCTAATTTCTTATGCCCCTCCCCCCCAAAACTGTCATTGTTGACATCTTGTTCCCTAGTGTCTGTACATCCAATCTATGACCTGTCTTATAGATTTTACTTCTTTTTTTAAAAGACTTTATTTATTTATTTTTAGAGGGGGGAGAGAAAGAGGAAGAGAGAAACATTGATCAATTACCTCTCATAAGCACTCCGACTGGGGACTGGGGACCAAATCTGCAACCCAGGCATGTGCCCTGACTTGGAATCAAAACCAGTGACCTTTCACTTTGCAGTGTGATGCCCAACCAACTGAGCTACACTGGTCAGGGCCAGATTTTACTTCTTAAATATCTCTGGAATCCATCAACTTATTTCTACCCCTCTCATCACCTTAATTCATGCTACCGTGTGTCTTGATTGGACAATAAATCATGTCTTAATTTGTGCATTTTCTGGCTTCTTTACAACATAATCTCCTTATTGTAGCTAGAGTGACCTTTTCAAAATGAAAATCTAATCACTGTTACTCATCTCTCCATTTTAAAAATAGTCAATAGCTTCTTACTCTTTTTAGGATTAAGAAGGGTCTCTTCAATATGCCTAAAAGGTCCTGTATGGTCTTTCCTTCTCCAGACTCATGTCTTATTACACACTTAGTCATTCTTTCTGCTCCACTTTCTTCATAGGTCTTTTCTTCATGCTACATTCTACTCCACAACAGGGCCTTTGGACAGCCTTGACTCTCTACTGAGAGTGGTCTTCTCATCTTTCTTCCCTGCTTTACCCCTAATCACCCTTCAGATCTAAATTCAATATGTGCATCTCATGGAAGTCTTCTCTTGCCTTGCCTTCTGGATCATGTCCTCCTATTATAGCTCTTACATCACCATGACCTGTTTCCAGCACGTTCATGCGACTGTCCATCTCCCCTACCAGTCTGTATGTTCAACATTGTAACCCCAGTGTCAACCCAATTCTAACCCACAGTAAATACTTTACACACATGATCTCATTTAAATAGCATAACAATACTGTGGTGTGTGATTATTCCTGTTTTATAATGAGGTAACTGAAGCTGAAAGGGGTAGATCTCCAGGTGATGAGGGATGGAGCTGAGAGTCTAGCCTAATGTGTCGAAAGTCAGCTCTTTCAACCATTAAGCTATGTATACCGTCTTTCCAAAGGAGAGGCTTGCTATGCCGTTGACATTTTGTGGTTTCATAGCTGAATCGCTGGGAAAATGGAAAAGTGTAGTGTATCCAGGGAGCACAATATGCGTAGGTTTATCAGACTATTGAGATATTTGGTGGTTCAAACCAGTGTTGTATGAAAGTTTGAGATTTTTGCGTAATTGCTTTCATCTAAACGTTATTTAACTTTGAGTTCTGGGAGAGGAGGCCACTCCTTAGCTTATTATGTCCTCTTGTGTTGGGAATCTTCCTGAGACCAATGGCTATGACAAAGTGTTAGCCAGAATTCCTGAGCTCAAGTCCATTCTTGATAATGAAGACTTCTTAAAGTCATTACTATAAGAAAATGGTTAGCAAACAAACCCCATCACTTGACAATAAATGTTAAAGCTGGAAGGATGTCAGTGCTCGTCTAGTCCAGTCCCTTTATTTTGTGAAGAAGGAAGCTGAGCTCCAAAGAGGTAAATTGATGAGGCCAAGGTCCACAGAATCGAGGAGTTTTGATTTCAGCCGAGTGCACAACAGTTTAAATAAGCTTATGCCCATGAATGAATGAAGGAAGGAATGAAGGAATGAATGCCAGAAGGTAGCTTTAGAAGCAGAATCAGGAAAAGCCTCTGCAGTTTTACTTTTCAACAAAATAGGGCGGTTCTATAAGTACCTACCTTATTCATAGGCATATTTTGTGGTACCACACGTGACATATTAGATATTAATTCTAAGACATACGTATTATTTCAGTTCCAACACAGTCTCCTAATTCCATAAATGTTTGAGAGGTTCTTCTAGCAACACAATGCTCCATATAAAACAATAATTTCATAAGCAGCAAAAAACACATTTTCTACAGTGGTCTTGGGTTATGTCTGTAAATATGTTATTGTGCCATTTTTGAGCTATAAGATATATTTACACTGAACAGAATGAAAACAGAAAGAAAAAATGGTCCTGGTTTGTCATTTCATGTTTCCAGATTTCAGTTGCCTTATACATAAAATGTGGGGAGTATAGGTTCCTTCTCTCCAGACCTGATCCTCCTCCAGTGTCCCGTCTCAGTTAGTGGTAGTACAACAGTCTGCCCTGCTCTTCAGGCCAGAAACTTAGGGCTCATTTTCCACTTGCACTCTCCCTTACCTCTCACATACAGTCAGGTTCAAGTCCCATGCAGAGGTGGTTGTCATACTTAAAATACACATCAAAATTAGTCATACTTAAAATATAAATCAAAATTAATGAGAAGACTTGATAAAACAGATTAGTGGGCTCTACCCAATTATGAGATTTTGATTCAGTAGTTTTGGGGTGGGGCCTAAAAGTGTGCATTTTTAACGTGCTCCCAGGTATTGCTGATGCTGCTTCTGGGGCCCCCGCTTGAGTGCCCTTGCTGTAGAGCGCCCCCTGAATGCCGGGCCCTCGTGCCGCAGCCTGCTGCAGGCCCTTTGCTCTTCTCCAGCTTTTAGCAGCAGCCATCCAGCTGTTTTCCTGCCTCTAGTCATTATAGTTTATTCTGCCACTGAGATCTAAAATACATTATGTTTTCTCTGTCACACTTTAACATCCTTCAGGGACTCCCTAGCATCCAAGCTCTCCCTGTTATGGCCCTAGCTTACCTGCTGGCTCATGGAATTTCATTCCTTATACTTAAAACCTCTCCACCATTCTGTTGCAGCCAAGCTGAACTACTCACAGTTGCCTCTGAGAGTCATGTCAAGATGTCTCCGTGCCTTTGCACCTGCCTTTCTGCCCTCAGTTGCCTTTTCCCCTTTCTTCATCTAGGCAGGAATTGTCATTCCTTCTTCTTCACATCTCTGTTCAGAAGACCCTGACTGCTCCTTTCTGTACTTAATCCCTGACTACCTTTCCAGACAGTGTGTTCATTGGCCCTTGACTCCCAGGCCTCTAGCACAGTGCCTAGGTAACCCACAGCACGGACTCAGCAAGCATCTGTGTGACTGAATGTGTCAGCGTTCATTGGATCTGAATGAGCTCAGTATTAGGTTCTAGGCATTAGTGACGTGGCTTATAGGGCTTCAAGAGCCTGAGTGGATAAGTGTTGAGACTTAT